TTTGGTCAACTAATAATAAAAGTCAACCCTTCTTATGCATAATTAATTTAATTTTTAATAAATAAAATTTTTATATTCATAAACTACATCAAAATCTCTTCAAAGTTGTAAACTCCAAATTAGAATATAATTAAAAATTGGCATCCTAATTAAGTGAACAAAACGCAACTGTTTGACCAAGAAAAGTCAAATTTGCAAATCAATTCGGGACGGAGGTAGTATATTTTTTTAAACCGAACTCTGATCTGATTTGATAAAATGTTTATGTGTTCTGTTCTAATAAGTGTGATCTGGTCTAAAACTTAATGTGAAACAATTACAAACATAATTTAAGCATGCTTCTTAAACTTAGAGACCGTTTGATAAGATTAAAATTGATTGAATCGATTGATACTGCTGAATTTTATGAAGATGATTAGATTGATAGATATATTGATCTATACAAAATCAATATTTAAATTATCTATTATTAATATATAAAATAAACAAAAAAAATTATTAATAATATCTACTAAAACAACGTTAGCCAAATCAACTAGAAAAGTAACTTCAACCTTACTTATTTAACTTATTACTCAATTCAGCGTGTGAAACCAAAGGGACGGATGTAATATTATTTAGATTGTTAAAAAATAATTCAAATATTTACTTTCATCATTCACCATATCTAATTAATTGAGTCGTAACGAATTTCAATTATTTTAATAGATTCAGTAGATTCTGCTAATTCAAATGTTACCAAACAAATCAGTTCAGATCAGACTGGATCAGACTTGAATAGTTATAAAATACATAGAGACTAGACATCTAAGCCAGGTCTGCTGAGAGTGAGGTACTGAAGAGTGCCAGAATAAATCAGACCGATTCAAACCAAACAAATTATACCAAATCAGATCAAATCAAAACATGAAATTTTAAATGAATGAAAATTAAAACAGAAAAGTAACGTTAGCCAAATCAACCAGAAAAGTAACTTCAACCTTACTTATTTAACTTATTACTCAATTCAGCGTGTGAAACCAAAGGGACGGATGTAATATTATTTAGATTGTTAAAAAATAATTCAAATATTTACTTTCATCATTCAACATATCTAATTAACTGAGTCGTAACAAATTTCAATTATTTTAATAGATTCAGTAGATTCTGCTAACTCAAATGTTACCAAACAAATCAGTTCAGAACAGACTGGATCAGACTTGAATAGTTATAAAATACATAGAGACTAGACATCTAAGCCAGGTCTGCTGAGAGTGAGGTATTCAAGGGCGCCAGAATAAATCAGACCGATTCAAACCAAACAAATTATCCCAAATCAGATCAAATCAAAACATGAAATTTTAAATGAATGAAAATTAAACATCCTTAACTAAACTACAATTAAGGATAAAATTTGGGCCAAGAACAATAACGTCAAAGGCCTAGAGTCATAACACAACCGAGTCAATTACATTATACTTTAATTATACCTATCCTCCATTACCTACGTACTTGGCAGCTCTATAGCAGGTTTTTGCAGAAGAAGCTCCCTATCATAACTCGGCAGCTTTGTAAAAGCTTTTTGCACAAGAACCGCAACAGTTTATACAATACGTACAAAGGTCTATTTTCATAATTCCTATGATTTCTTCAGGATTGTGGATCAGATAACGAGTGGCTGCACCAACGCATCATGAAACTCTTACAAAGCCTCAATTACGGTATGGAAAAAATAATTATTGTAGTTTCATATTTTCATCATCATCATTCCATTAATATAGATTTATTGGGACTTGGAAGATAAAAAATCAGCCCTTATATAATATAAAAAATATACCAATATTATAATAACAAGAAGAAATCCAATATATTCACCATTGCCAATTGAACAATATAAACGAATATTTTTAAATAAAAATATTAAAATATCTCAAACTTTAAAGGTGTATGAGGTGAGTACCCCAAACTTACATATAAGCCGGATTTTTTTTTCACCCATGTAGTTCATTTAGGTATAAGATAAAAAAACTAAAAATTCAGCAAAATAATTTTTTTGTCATATATTACTACTAATTTAACTAATGTGTGACAAGTTCTTATTTAACAAATATTCATTAATCTTAATATTTTTAAACGAATATTTTTAAATGAAAATATTAAAATATCTCAAACTTTAAAGGTGTATGAGGTGAGTACCCCAAACTTACATATAAGTCGGAATTTTTTCACCCATGTAGTTCTTTTAGGTATAAGATAAGGAAACTAAGAATTCAGCAGAATAATTGTTTTCGTCATATATTACCACTAATTTAACTAATGTGTGACAAGTTCTTATTTAACTAATATTCATTAATCTTAATATTTATTCTATTCACTTAAACTTTATGTTTCTCCCGTATGAAAATTAGTAAGTAACATATTCTAATGAGTGGTGTCAATTAATTTTTCAAAATATACTTTTCATTGAAAATTTATTGTATGGGTTTACACTTTATGATATAAGTTTATTGTAATCAATTCTATGAACACATAGCTTCGAAATAGCCAGCTTATACCCAGCGTATTGGTGGAGATCTCAATTCTACAATTAACAAGTTGGTAATTTATTTTTCTCTGCACATTTCAGTTTCATCTAATGCACAATTAGGCTTCATATAATACCATTGTGCTTTATCTTTTGTGCTGCACATTACGATTTCACATAATGAACATTTCAGTTTCACCAAATGCACCTTCAATTTCACAGAATACAATTTAACGGTCCAGATTCATTCTCATTTCTCTCCTAAGATCATTTTCTCACTTGAACCTTATTCTATATATATACACATATAGCGTGAATCTTGGGACTCAAAATTTGTTAAATTTAGTACTCTTATTTTCTAATATGTTTTCATTACAGTGCAAGAATAAAAATGGATGCGGCGGAAGCACGTCGCAAAAGAAAATCAATTCTACAAGCAAGTGAAGCACATAGAAGGGTCAACAATGAAAATTTTGATATGGGTATAGACAAAATTATATTTTCTTATTGAGTACTTTTTTGTATCTTTCTTTACACATTTTTCATGAATGCAATAGAAAATGGAGTTACGGAGGAATCTATAACAAGTACTACATTACCTGACTACACAAGGTTTGCCCTCATTACAAGGTAAATCGATTGTCATCAAAGCACTATTTATATTAATATATTAATACCATGGCTGACAAGTGTTCATAGCATAAATACTCAAAACATAAAAAGGAATGTGGAGGCAGCAAGAGCACGTGCTAGAAGGAGATATATTCTACATCACAGGAGGAGAGGTAAATTCATAACTGCAATCTAAAACACATACTTAGCTAAGTCCAACTTTGAATTCCCTACCTCCAAATATATTTTACATTGCTATATATCATTAACATTTAAATTATTTTACCGTTCAAGGTTTCCTCGCAAACAACAATGTCCAAGAGTTTCCCCATGATGTAGATAACAAAGGCAAAAAAAAGTGTAGGGACATCAAATGAAAGCATGCTACTCAACAATGGTACAACTCAAGAGTTATTGGATGCATGTCTTCATTATACTTTTTTTATTTATCTTTATCCTATGACAATTGTAAATTATTAATTATTCATGGACTTTATATATAGCCACGTACTCTTATAGTCCTCTCCTTCACGCAAGTAGCAATGCAAATATCATGGACAGTTCACCAGGACATTACCTTCCACTCTCTAACATCACAAATATCATTTTAAATGGAAGGTATTTCATAACACAAAATCACAACTTATAAGACTTATATATAAAAATTAAATAATCATACGTTTTATGCGATCCTTACATTTTCACAGTGCAAGCAACCAAACAGCTAAAGGAGATGTGGCCATAGAATCACATTCCAAAATAAGATCTTTCTTACAACAACAACATCAATTTCAAAGTGGAAGTCTGCAGAAAGATATACGCAGTCAACTGCAAAATACTGGTATTGTGTTTAGTGTCAAACTCATATATGATAATACATGTATATCATATTTATATGATGTTTAAAATTATTACAAATTTGAACACATAAATAAACATGTATGCTTTTTAATACATGTTTGTAAATGATAATAAATTGCAAATTTTTTGGAAATAATTTTTTTTTCATGCATCCAACGCATTGAAATGATATCTCTTTATACATGTCTATCACATTTATTCAATATAAAATCTTATTAACTTTTGATACAACATGTGTTGTTCAAAATCAACATTCTCTTACAAATTTTGATTCTAATGAAGAAGTGGGAACCTCAACAAATGCAATCTTGAGTGGTCCGTACATGAACACACAGTTAAGTGCGATCCGAGATCAATCAAAAAGAAAAAGAAGAGCCATCTATGATGATTCTAGAGGTGTAAATCTAATGAACAAATTTTCAGAAGAGGGTCTAAGTTTTGACAATGAAGTTGTTGTGCATAATCCTTGCAATACGACTCCGTCATCATCATGCCAAGGCATGCGTTATATGAGCCAAAACCAAGCTATAAATTCAAGTCAGAGTGTGAGCATACATGAAATGTATGGCCCACAAGGAAATGAACAAATTCATTCTGATAGTGATGTTGATCAATTTGAAGGTAACCGAGAACTTCTAATCATCAATATAAATAACACAACATTGATTTCATATGCTAATTCAATATTCTTTTCAAATAGATTTAGCCCTTGATGATGACACGAGTTCAAACGAGGAGTCACCCGATCCTCATGAAAGTGCTACAGAATTTGATTTTGCTCAAGGTATCAATAATTAAATAATTTAGTGCAATTTAACTCATATTCACCATTTATTCCTTATGATAAATATTTATTCGTTTATAGGATACTTTGATATTGGAGATCCGCTTATTGAGTGTGAAAAATGCAAGGCATGCATGTGGTATCAAGAAAGATCAAATAAATATAAAGACACCACATTACCTAAGTATAATCTTTGTTGTGGGAAGGGAAAAGTTCAATTGCCACTACTCAAGGACCCCCCTATACTTCTTCAGCATCTTTTGTTTGGTAATGATGTTGATAGCAAAAACTATCAACAACATATTAGAGTGTACAATATGATGTTTGCATTCACATCGCCTGGTGCAAAAATTGACAAGTCAATCAACGATGGTCGAGGCCCGCCGACATTCAAAATACAGGGTCAAACATGCCATCGAGTGGGAAGCATGTTACCTATGCCAGGTCAACCTCCAAAGTTTGCCCAACTATACATATATGATACTGAGCATGAGATACAAAATAGGATTCGAGGAGTAAGGTTAGCATGTGCATTAATTTTATCAAGAACACTAAAAACAATTTTATTAATTATTATTTCTCATTATATGTGATTGTTCAATTTTATTTGATGCTTTGTAGAAACCCAAATGACATAGATGATCAGATTGTGAGCAAATTATCAGCCATGCTACATGAATACAATGTGCATGCAAAATCCTTTAGGATGGCTAAGGAAAGACTACAAGACGCACCTATGCAGGATCTGCGGTTAAAGTTGATTTCAGACAGAGTTAGCGATGGCCGAGTATATAATCTTCCTACGGTTTCAGAAGTTGCTGCTCTTATAATTGGAGATGTTGACACTTCATCAAAAAGAGATATAATAATGGAGACCCAAAGTCGTACACTTCAGCGAATAAGTGAGTTGCATACTAGCTATTTGAGTTATCAGTATCCCCTTTTATTTCCTTATGGAGAGGATGGATACAGGCATGACGTGCTTCATAGAGATACGGGTAGTTCTAATAGTTCTATAAGAAAACGTCTTACCATAAGAGAGTGGCTGTGTTTTAGACTACAAACCAGGAAAAAAGAGGCGCTCACATTGCTGAGATCAAGAAGATTATTTCAGCAATTTGTGGTTGATGGCTATACTATGCTTGAGTCAGAGAGGTTATCTTTTATCAGGAGAAACCAGAAAAAGCTAAGAGTTGATAAATACAGTAACCTCAGTCAACCAAATCACGACATACAAGGTCAAGGATCTGAAAAGGGAAAAAGAATTGTACTACCGTCGACATTTGTAGGAAGTCGTCGATACATGGATCAACTTTACTTTGATGGTATGGCAATTTGTGGTTTTGTTGGCTTTCCTGATTTCTTTATCACGTTCACTTGCAATCCCAACTGGCCTGAGATTCAGAGAGTACTTGAACCATTAAACTTGAAGCCACATGATCGTCCTGATATTCTTGCAAGGGTCTTCAGAATCAAGTTTGAAGAGTTATTAACAGATTTAAGGAAAAGGCATATATTCGGAAAAGTTCTTGCATGTAAGTTTTAAATATGAATTAATTACATATTTCTTATTCAAACTACACGTTTACAGTTGCAATTCATTTATTATAAAATTTTATTTTGCTAATATATTTTCAGATATGCATACAATTGAGTTCCAAAAAAGAGGATTGCTCCATGGTCATATACTCATTTTTTTGCATCCTTCGAGCAAGTACCCAACAGCCGATGATATTGATAAGATTATCTCAGCAGAGATACCTGATCAAGAGTCTGAGAAAGAATTATACAACTTGGTCAAAACTCACATGATTCATGGTCCATGCGGTTTAGCGAATCCTTCATCACCGTGCATGCAGGACAGAAAGTGCAACAAGTATTATCCTAAGCAATTCCAGGCAAGTTTGTTTTTAATAAATAAATAAATAAACAACACCACATTTTATTTGTATTACCCCAAGTCTGGTCTAATCAGGAATACATCACTTAAGTTTGATATGTGTGGTCTGATATAGAATTCCATATAATAGAGACATCCCAATTCTGCTAATTAATTAATCTAAATATGTGACTGCACACATAGCCACTATTTTACTAGAGTTACTACCAATCAAAATTAATATTTTTACATTTACTTAAGATATTTGGGATATTACGACTTAGATCGTTACAAACAGGTAGATTAAGTTATATCGTCGCAATAGTTTCATACATTTGCTAATGAATGATATAAAATTAGACTAAAATATTACAAACTAATAAATAATAAGAAGTATATGACTATGGTATTAACTACTCATATTGAAAAAAATGTAACTTTTATACACAATCACTACTATAAATTTTAAGCATGTAGGACCCTCATGAAAAATAAATCAAAACTTATACTCTATCGCACGATAGACTAATACTACAAGCTAAACATCAATTTCAAATTTTAAGAACACATGAAATATATAACATTTACAATTTTTTCAGGAATCAACGACGCTTGACGAAGATGGTTATCCTATTTATAGGAGAAGAGCCAATGGAAGGAAAATTGAAAAATCTGATACTATCTTTGACAATCGTCATGTTGTGCCTTATAATCCAAAATTGTTGTTAAAGTACCAAGCGCATATCAACATGGAATGGTGTAATCAAAGCACTTCGATCAAATACTTATTCAAGTATATCAACAAAGGATATGACCGGATTACAGCCGTTATTGTCCCAACACACGATGATGTGTCGCCCCAAAATGAGAATATTGACGAGATCAAGCAATATCTTGATTGCAGGTATGTCTCACCATGTGAGGCCTGTTGGAGGATTTTTTCTTTTCCTATTCATGGTAGATCTCCAGCCGTCGAAAGACTTTTTTTTCACCTACCCAATGAGCAATCCGTGTTCTTCAGTGACAACGATAACCTTGAGTCTGTGCTAACAAGAAAAACTGTTAAAGAATCAATGTTTACATCTTGGATGCAAGCAAACAAAATCTATCCAGAAGGAAAAGACTTAACCTATGCAAAGTTCGTTTCAAGATTTGTGTATGTAGCTAGCAAGAGGTGTTGGAAGCCACGAACGAAGGGTTACACTATTGGTAGACTCATCTGGGTACCTCCAACAACAGGTGAACTATTCTATTTAAGAATGATGCTCACTGTAACAAAAGGGCCACATTGTTATGAGGATATTAGGACGGTTGCCAACATTCAATATCCGACCTTTAGAGAAGCGTGTTTTGCGGCGGGATTACTTGGGGATGATAAAGAATATATTGGAGCATTAAAAGAAGTTAAGGACTGGGCATCAGGGCACTACTTGAGAAAATTGTTTGTAACTCTGCTCTTATCATGTCCCGTCAGCAGACCTGAGCATGTATGGGAACAAACTTGGCAGTGGTTGGCTGATGGAATTTTGTATGAACAACGAAGGCTCTCGAAAATCCAAGGTAAGTCAGATCAATTAAAAATTAATTGTTCTCTAATCATTTGTAATATGAAAAATTATTCATGAGGCTTACTCTACCAAAAAAGTAATAAGATTTGTGATTAAAAGTATCACCCTGAATTGGATTCACCTTAATTATATTTTAATTCGATTAGAAAACATAAAGTATATATGATTACTTTAGCAGATCTATGTTACTCTTTTAAATTTTTTACTAATTACATAATTAAAAAAATTAGTATAACATTAAATTAGTTATTTCCTATTACCATAAATTAACATTATTTTCCGATTACTGCAATCAACTTTTCTTACCTTAAGTATTAAAATAATTCACGTATCAAGTAACATATAATTTATTTCACCTGTCAAGTAACGTAAATTTGTCATTCATTTTCATAATTCATTTTCATAAAAGAATATATTCAAATAAAAATATTTCATAATTTCAATTGTCTGCATATCTCATTTGTAATTTATTTGCATCAATGTGACAAATTGAATGATTTACAATAAAAACATAATGAGAGTGAACACATACACATGAACATCTTCTTCTAATTACTAATTCAATTGTGTTTATTACATTTGTAGATTTACAACTTAGTGATCAAGAGTTGCAAAATTTAACTCTTGTGGAGATCGAGAAGTTGATGCAGAAAAAGAGAAAAAGTCTAAAAGATTATCCCTCAATACCGTATCCAAATGGATATATCACGGAACAACTAGGGAATAGGCTTATTTATGCAGAACGTGATTATGATACATCCAAGTTGCGTGAGGAGTTCCAAACTTTGTATGCTTCTCTTACTGGTAAAATAAATACAATTCATATGATTTATAAGTCAAATTAAATGATTTTGAGAGTCAAGAAAAAAAATGATTTCCTGCATATATTTTGATGCTAATGTTGCAGATGAACAGAAAGGCATATTTGACACAATAATGGAAGCTGTGACTAACCAAAAAGGCGGAGTATACTTTTTATATGGTTATGGTGGTACAGGAAAAACATTTATGTGGAGGACACTAGCTTCTGCCTTACGTTCTCAGCGCCATATTGTTTTAACTGTCGCGTCAAGTGGTATAGCTTCTCTACTCTTACCTGGCGGTAGAACTGCACACTCTAAATTTTCAATCCCAGTTCCCACTCTAGAGAACTCTACATGCAATATACATCAAGGGAGTGAACTTGCAGAGCTCTTAAAACAGACTAAGTTGATAATATGGGATGAAGCAACAATGGCTAATAAATTTTGTTTTGAAGCACTAGACAGAAGCCTAAATGACATCATCAACAATGATGGTGATTCAATTTTACCATTCGGAGGAAGAGTGGTTGTCTTTGGAGGAGACTTTAGACAAACTTTACCAGTTATTCCTGGCGGAAGCCGTTCAGACATTGTTAATGCTACAATCAATTCTTCATATCTATGGGATGACTGTCTGGTATTAACTCCATTTTTAGTACCATAACAAATATATTTACTTTTACTATAGTTTACAAATTCATTTAACCACAATATAATGAATAATAAAGTACCACTAATTACTTTATATTAGCTCAAATTCATTCGTTCACTTCTAGCTTAAACAAAGTACCACTAATTACATTAATTATTTAACTATTTCGCCTAATCACTTTATATTTTTTTTTTTAAATAATTACTTTACAAGTTATACTCAAATATATGTATTATTGTTTTTTGTTTATTGATAGGTACTGTCTCTTACTAAAAATATGCGACTTCAAAATAGTTTGGATATGACAAGTGCTACCGAGCTCAAAGAATTTTCAAAATGGATACTGGATGTGGGGGATGGAAAAATATCAGAGCCAAACGATGGTTATGCAGAAATAAAAATTCCAGATGAATTCTTGATTAAAGAATTTGATGATCCAATTGATGCAATAATTCGTAGTACGTATCCTAACTTACTGGAGCAATACAAAAATGAGGAATTTCTCAAGTCTAGAGCTGTCTTGGCATCAACTATTGAAATTGTCGATAAAATAAACGACTATGTTCTTTCAATGCTCCCAAGTAATATTATAAAAATGCTACCTTCCTTATTTACTTACAAAATAAATTATTAAACAAATTTAATAATTAAATTAAGACTAATGAAATTTTATAACTACAGGTGAAGAAAGAGAATATTTAAGTTGCGATTGTGTAGACAAGTCAGATGTAGTTGAAGCAGAAGCATTTGAAGCGTTGACACCAGAATTTCTCAATTCCTTAAGAACATCAGGTCTCCCAAATCACAACATACGACTTAAGGTTGGGACTCCAATAATGTTGCTAAGAAATATAGACCAGTCAGAAGGACTATGTAATGGAACTAGATTGATTGTCACAAGACTGGGAAATCATGTCATCGGAGCACGAATCATGTCTGAAGGCAATATTGGAGATGAGATTTACATACCTCGAATGTGTATGTCTCCTTCTCAATCACCATGGCCTTTTAAACTTATCAGAAGACAATTTCCTATAATGGTCTCATATGCGATGACAATCAATAAATCTCAAGGACAATCACTGGAAAGAGTTGGATTATACCTGCCAAGACCTGTTTTTAGCCATGGACAATTGTATGTGGCATTATCAAGAGTTCAAAGCAAACATGGATTGAAGATTTTAATACATGATAAGGATGGAAAGTCATCAGACACTACTACCAATGTTGTATTCAAAGAGATTTTCCAAAATCTCTAATACTTAGGTTTAAAATTTAACTTGGTATTCATTTTATTAACTTACACTTTATGATATTCAAATATTGTACTCGCTTCTAAGAAGAATACCAATTTTTTGAAATTAGTTTCCTTTTCTAATTAATTACATCATGATTACAAATATATCCATAAATTATGTCCCGTGCGTATGCACGGGTACTGTACTAGTTATATAGTAAAACTAAGTTATCAATAACTTATTATAATGAGCTATTAACTAGTAAGCTATTACTCTTACTTTGACGGTTAATCACATCACGGTTAACCATAAATAACTCCACTCTTAATGGCTAATTTATAGGTAACAAATAAATTGACATGCACCGAAAAGCAGGTACAATTCATGAAAAAACAAGTACGATTAAATAGCTTCACTCATGATAACTAATCAATAGGTACTTAAGAAATAAAATAACACGCAGCAAGTAGGATTCTACAATTATCACCTATTATCAAGTTACAATTATGGCCAATTACATCATTATTCAATCTTTTCAAAAAAAAAAGGATGACACCCCATCCCTGAGGGCCCCCCAACACCGACCGGACGACATGATGGGAGGATGTAAATTGGACTATAATCACAATCTGACAGATAGAGAGTGAGGCTCTGTCCCCGGTACTTGCAGAAGCCCTATGCATTTTTCAGCATAGTAACCCCTCATCGCAGCTGCCGGGATTCGAACCCGAGACCTAACCCTTGTGGCACTCTCTCGCTACCAGTTGAGCTACGCCCACCGGTAAACAAAACTAAGGTTTGGGTAAACTTTTCATAGTGACTGGCTCCACCGCTTTCACGACCCCTTACCCCAGAAACCCAACTTTGGCTTGGCCCTACGGGTTAGTATACACCGCTTGGCCCTACCACTTGAAGGTTTTTTTTGGAAGAGCATAGTTCCACTGGTGCTAGTGGGACTCGAACATGAGACATCTCCTATGCAGGGGTAACCTCACAACTAGCTAGGCTGGAAATGATGGTCTGGTCTGAACGGATTATGTCTGATCTAGTAAACGTTTGATCTCTATGTATTTTATAAATGTTCAAATTTGATATGGTGTGATTAGTCATGGACTCAGGTCGGGCCGCCCGGCCCGAAACCGGTACTGTTTGGGCCCGGTCCGGAACCGGTACTGTTTGGGCCCGGCCCGGTACCCGGTTATAGGACCGGTCCGGGCCACCCGAGCCCGGAATTAATCGGGCCGGGCTCGGGCCTCCTAAAAGTGGAACCGGCCCGGTTTGGGCCCGGAACCGGCCCGACCTATTTTTTTTTTTTGGGTTTTTCAATTTTTTTGGTTTCTCCCGGGTTGGTATGGGTGTTTTCCGGGGGTTTGGGGGTGGGGGGTGAGGGGGGGGGGGGGTCGGGGGTTAATTAGAAAAGCAAAAGAAATTTAAAAAAAATAACATGAACCGGCCCGGCCCGGAACCGGTGCGTGCCCGGGCCAGTTCCGGTTCTTCCTTCCCCAAAAAAAAGCCCGGTCGGGCCCAGCCCGGCCCGGGTCCATGACTAGGTGTGATATGGGATTGAAAATAGTCGAAAATAGCTAAAGTGACCTTCTACAGTAACTTATGCCAATTTAGCCGAAAAGTAACTTTGATCTTAGTTATTTTGATTATTATAGTGCACAAAATCAAAAGTTACATGCTTGTTAAAATCGTTTGCTACTAAGATTGATAAGCCGAAAAACAAGGTCACCAAACATAATGTAATTTTTCTAGATTTATAGTCCTTATTAAATTATTCCATCTGTCCAAATGACTTTGTCAATTTTATTTGATAAAAAATAATAAAGTTAAAATTATATAATTGAGATTTATTCAGATGAGTGATAAATATCATGAACCAAAAATTAACTGATGGTAAGAAAAATGATAAAGTTTTTCAGACAATAAAAAAATGAAAGATGACAAAGTTATAAGAACAGGGAAAATAAAAATACTCCATCTAATTCTCGGACAAGTACTCACTTTGATTTTATGGTTTTAAGAAAGTTAAATTTTTGCTTTTAACTTTCTCATTATACCTTTAAAAAAGAAAAAAGTAAGAGTAGGTGAAGTAAAAAGTGTGTGCAAGAAGAGTAAATTAAGAGTCTCAGCCTCTCAGGGTCATTTTATAATAAAAACTTATAAAATGGAAGTCAAATAGTGCAAAACAATGTCAAACGGTATCCAAAAAGTGTCATTTTGAGGATGAAAGTCAAACAGGACGTTTTAAATTGGGACGGAGGGAGTATATACTACATATGGAAAACCTACACGGCAGACAGAGTTATGACTAATACTTGTACTCCAGGAAGAGAACTTGGGCTTTTGGGGATGAACGAGGAGAGCACATAATTTCCTCTGGGATTTCCAAAGCCCCCTGACCGTGGGGTGCTTTCGTGATAACAAGTTCCTCAAGGGCAGGTGAGTTTAAAAGGATTGATTTCACAAATAGCACTTCCAGTCTGTATCCATGAAATACACTCATCTTCACCGTTTTAAGCAATTGCAGTTCCTTTTTAATAACAAAGCTGTAGGGATACTCCAAAATTCTGGAAGCATCTTCTTCTTCATAATCTCCTTGACCGTACTACGTACAACAAAAGGAAAAGAGAAATAGAAAAGGCACATGCCTGAGAGGTCAGAAACTTGGTGAAAATGATAAACACAAAATCATAATCCCCAAATGAATAGTTAAAGTAAAGGGGTCTTACATAATTCCCTGTCTCAATACGAAGTTCACATAGCTTTGGACATTTCTGAATCAATTCAATAACAAAAGTGAAGTGCTTTGTATAAATAAAATCGACATTATTGATCACAAACACTTCTAGATTTGTTGCACTTGGGAATGTCACTGCAGCTACTGCATCAGGCATATGCTTTAAAAAAAATAACCAAATACAACAAAAATTAACATTGGGACATCCTTAACAAGCCAGAATGAAGATGCATAAAAAACAAAACTGTATATTTCATTTTCTCATCTGCTTAACAAAGTGTATAGAAAGAAGAAGTAAGAGATTTATTCTTACCCACAACAAATCTGCTTGCAAATGAAGAGTACTGATTACTGTAAAATGAAGCACAAACCATCTGGAATCAGTCAGATTTTCATAATTATAGTTAGTAGTCAAGCACTTAAGCTTTGGCGCGTTAATCACAAAATTATCAATCCCAGCACAGTTTTCAAAAGAGAGCTTCTCAAGATTAGGGACATTATAGACTGTTCCAGTGAGATCAGGCTGAAATTCAATATACTCAAAAACCAATGAAGTGACGCCAGGAAACACACTATGTGAATTAGCAGGGAAGCCAAAAACAAACCCACCAAGTAGGAGTTGTTTAATTGTAGGGCAAGTGATTATACAATCTTGGAGTTTATATGTTCGGCTGCAGTTATCAACAGAGATGCGAAGTTCCTCAATGCCATTTCTCGATAGAAAAGTACACCAACGATTTATATAAGCTGGTAGTGGCAGAGGAATAAATACATAGAGACGCTGCTGCTCACCCTCTGAAAGTCCCAGTGTAAATTTCTTAACGGATCCCATCCGGAGCATGAGGCATCGATTTATTATTTCCATATAATCTCCGGGTTCATCTTCAAAACCGACTGGTGGAAAATATGAGAAGAAGTCATAATCAAAAACCAGATGGCCGTGAGCATACCAGACATCCTTCCAGTGAGTTGAAAGCATAGCCATTTTGGCAGCTTCACGTGTGCTCAGCAACTCTAGAATTGATTCCTTCAGCTCTGCAGGTAGTTGACTTATGTAGTCATTTCCTGCACCTGATGTGGTTTTTCTTCTACAAACACTGGCCATTACACTGATAAAGAACAATGTAGTACGCATTTGTAAATGAACTGGTGCAAATCACAGTAATCCGCATTAGTTACTATTTAGTACACATTCACAGCCAGTCAAGCAAATAAATTATGTCACATACTTGCATAAACTTAACCGCATGATTATTACATCTGTTTGCTAATGGAGTAATAGTCTACTTATACTTTTTAATTAGACAAGTACTTTAGGAAGGAGTGTAGTTGATAATGTGATATGCAAATCTTAAGGATAATATTGAAAGGATGATTGTGCGGAAATTGTTTATGAGGATATAAGTTCTTTTTTAACCATTAGGCGTTATACAATGGAAATTTTTACATTTTTAACTGTATTTCATCTTTTACAAGCCAATACACAGGAGGGTTAAGATATTTTCAATCCTGTTATAGGTAAGGTTTCCAATGAGAAGTTAAAATACCATCAAGCTAATGGGCCAAATCGGTCTGTGGCATGTATTACATCATGCGAACAAAGGACCGCCAAGAATCATAACATTGACAAAAGTTTAGCGCTAAGTGTGCTTGATGAACAAAGAACAATAAACATTCATATTTCAGTTCATTAACTAATTTGTATTGCCAATTGCCATGACCTTAAATTTCATGGATTACAAATCAAGCAAATTCAAAACGATAAATCAAAGTATGCCGCCTAAAATGTTGAGAGGATAAAACTGATGGAGTTGTGGTGATGACTGAGATGGTAAAACTAAAAAGATAACCGAAACAGACCTGGTTGTGTATAGTCGGAAAAATACAGGCGTCGTGCAAAGTGGAAACCTTTGCAAAGATTAAAAAAAAAAAAACTGCGTCAAAGGTTTCCACTGGGCCGTCTTCGTAATTAAAAATTTTTCAAAGTAGGTAGATTAAGAATATTGAAAGAGGATATGAATTATTGAAGGTATGATAGGAAGATAGTGAAATAATTTGAAAGAATATAGGATAAATTCAAAAAAAAGTTGTAATAGTGTATTATTTTCAGAATTATTGAGGGTATGATGAGAAAATTTAGAAATGAGAAGATTTTTTTGTTACGGCCGAAAAAGAAAAGTAGGAAGATTTTTTTGTTATGGAGGGAGTAAGACATATTATCTCAAAGTTGAACTCTTCACCTGATCTGAAGTTTCTGATCTGAATTTTTTAAGTTATGATTTGTTTTTTAAGTTATGATCAGGTCTTATCTGAATCTTTCTGATCTGATCTGATCTGATCTGAATCTTTCTGGTCGTATCTGATCTGAATCTTTCTGATCCGATCTTATCTGAATTTTTCTGATCTGATCTGATTTGATCTGAATAAAATAAGAATAAGCAATAAGTAGTAAGTAATAAGAATAAGACGAACATAGCATCTTCTAAATCTAAATAAAATTGCACATATAGGAGTTCAAAATTAAATCTTTCTGCCAAGCAGCTTGTGCTTGAATGATATCACTATGATACTCCCAAGAAGGAGGTCAAAGGTTCGAAACTATCTCTGTCAAGGATTATAGCAAAATTAACAGATACTACGAGAAAGAGAAAGTACGGCAAAATTAAATCATTTTATAATAGGATTATTATACTTTTTTCATGAATATTACTAAATTAAATTTAGAAGATAAAAATTATGACTTATTAAAAAAAACGACATATTCAGTGACTAGTTCTTAGTGACTTATAATTTACAGGTGACTTGTTACTCTAAAATACATTAAAGTGACTCTTGTTCAGTTACTTGTACATAGTGACTAGATGTATGTTTATTCAATTAATTGCTCTATAATTAATTGCTCTTAAGTTTCCTTACATCACTAGGAATTTTTGACAAATCGGCGGTGTGACAAATTAGAAAGAAGTGTGGCCGGCTAGCGGTGTTATTAGGGTTTGTGATGGAGGCGATCTGGTAGAGTTAACATGATCCAGTGACTATCTCGCTAGACCATAGAAGTAGTACTACAATGACTAGATTTTGTAATGGATGCAGTGTGCCTATTGGTAACTAGTTTTTGTGATCGCAACAAAATACAAAGGGTTTGTTGTGGATGTTGTTGCGGGTTCTTTTGTAAGGAGCGGGGTATTGAATGAGTTTGTTATGAGTTTTGTCATCGAAAAAATCTGTAACGCCTACGGCGTCACAAAATTTGGTTAGGGAAATAAGATTTGTAACAATGTTTATTACGGATTTGTTAGTTCGAAACCGTAACAACATTTAAGATTTAACCGGCCGGCGGTGGGTTTTGTTATGGAAAGTCATTCGTGACAAAAGTAAATAATTTTTTTTAAATTCAAATTTTGTTACAGATTTTAGCAATAGCAAATATAGCGGGTATGAGGTCCAAAGTTAAACCTTTTGCATCTAAGCACTCTATTGTATAAAGACTACTAGTATCTTTACTCGTGCCGTGCATGAGTTAGAATGATTTTTTTTAATTATACTATGTATGCTTGTGCACTCGCACTTATATATGTATATAGGTGTAGTCATAAGTAACGGAAAGTCATGTATTTAGTCGATTATAACATCGGTTGATAATAATGCATATTCTTATTTATTGAGAATGTCTTATTTTCTAACTAAAAATTTAAACATGTTCTCAATCAATATTTTCCAATCAAAAGAACCAATTTTCTATAACTCTAATTGGTTGCATCCAAATGAACATCGTTTTTTCAAGCATTTTTATCTAAAAAATTGCTCAATGCCTATTTTTACCCATTAGATTTCATCTTAGCTTGCTGTTTTTTCAAAACTAATAACTACACATTTTTGTAATTTATTAATTTAATAATCGGTATGATCAATTTTTTAAGATATTAGCCTTTCTATTATTTAGGATTGAGAAAATTAGTTTGTCTATCTCCCTCTTTGATAAAAGAGTTTAGAATAAACTACGTATATATAGTTTTGTGACATTCTGATTTAATGAAGGTGATGGCGGTGACAATAGACTGATTGCATTAAACGTTTGTAGCGATCGATCTATGTTTCATTAGATTGACTCAATGTGGTGAAAAAGTTTATCCCCCAATTGAAGATGGAAGAGTCAAAAAGAAATTAAATGAAAAGAGACACTCCATCTGTCCTAAATTGAGTTACTAAATGGACTTTTTGAGTCAAATAGATTCATTTTATTCACTTAATTAGGATATTAATTCTTAAATAGATTTTAATTGAGATTTTATAACTTTATAGAGATTTTGGTGTAGTTTCTAGTATGTAAATTTTTATTCAAAATTGAATTAATTATCAATAGGGAGGATTCAACTATTACACTGGTTGACAAAAAATGATGACTTTACAAAACAATTTGGGACGGACGTAGTAATTAATTGAGAGTATTTTTGGGGAAAAATTAGGTCATTCCCGAGAATGTCAGATAATCTAATACATGGATGAGTTTAACATTCTCCTCAGAACTGTAACTTTCCCGAATTTTTATAAATCCCGGGGACCAACCATGGACATCTAACATCTTATGCATCACATTCCGGTCTTCATGTGTGTGACACTGCACCCGAATGTACTGGAATTTGGAATTTAATATGTATTTAAATTTCCTAGCGAATAAAAATCGCATAACGGATTGGTATATTTAATTAATGCGCGATTAATTAAATTATTTATCGGGTCCATTATATGAGAATGGGCTACCAAATATTTAGTTGGGTCATCGTAATAATTTTAAAAGCCCAATAAAGTGCTAACTAAAGTTGATAAAAATATTTGGACAACCCGGGTGCTATTTTGGCCCAACCTGCCAAAAATAGCAGGAATAATTGGGGAGGACTTCCTACACCCACTTGGGGTATTTTACACATCATCTAGCCTCAAATAATAGGGAGGGAGACAACCCAACCTGGGTGGGTGCGTGCAAGTGTGGAGAAGTCTCCTAGAGACAAAAGCTACACACCCCATGTTATAGTCTTGGACTATTCTTGGGAGTGATTGGATAGAGTTACTACTCCCCTATCTCTTGCCTCATCCGCACAAGCCAACCACAAGAGAGGGAGAGAGCTCTAGAGTTGACCCTCACAATCCTCAAGCTTGAAGGAAGCCATAGAAAGGGAAAACCAAAGGAGAAAGGCTAGAAGAGGAGGTAAGAACACACCTTTATTCTTTAACTAGTATTAATCTTGTATGATTTTTAAGGAATCATATGGTGGATTAAACCATGAGTTTTACACGTTTAAAAGTGTGTAATATTGTTATAAAGTGGTGGTATTTAACTTGGAAGAGTCGTGGAATCGATAGGAGTTGAAACCGCCGGAAACCGCCAAGTGTAGGAGGTTGTTCGTAGTTGCAGACCACGAAAGCCGCCCGGCTATCACCTTCTGCCCAGAATTTCACTTTCGATCGGTTTGAAACGGGGATTGATCGGAGGGCTTAACAAAGGCAACTAATTCAGCACTTCATAAGGTGAGGATGACTGACTATATTACTTATAATTGTTGGGTTAATTTCATAAGATTACCTAAGATTATTAAATGAGTTTTCATGGATTATTAAATGATTAATAATGCCTATAAGAAATGAATGAGGTATAAGTTAGTGAAGCATGATATACAAATTTATGAGATAAATTGTGTGTGATTATGTTATATGAATATGAAGAAATGATAGTTGAAATAACTATAAAATATTGTGATACAATATACTTTTACTTCATGTATAAGAATCATGAACGGACAAAAGTGATATTGTTGATATGGAGATTAAATTATATTTGGATTGGAAAATCAAATGGAATGAACCTTATAACTAAGAATAAAGAACTTGGTTGCTTTAGGACTATTGGACTAGCATTGAATTTACTAGCCGGAAATGTTGGTATAAAAAGTGGTAGAACAAATCCTAAGGGCTTGGATTGTGAAAGATGTACCTTAAGTGGTCATATGAAATGTCTTAAGGTAGAAATGGTTAAACGCTAAGTTACCGTAGGAGTAGACCTCAAAGGTTACTCAATACTCATAGTAGAGGAACTCTAGGCATAGAATTTGCTTAGTAAGCTAGAATCGTGACTAGAGGAAGCCTCTAGCACGATGAAGAATGACTGGAGGAAGCCTCCAGCATTCATGTAGGACGACTAGAGGAAGCCTCTAGCGTAATGTAGGATGACTAGAGAAAGCCTCTAGCATAACGTAATGTGACTGGAGGAAGCCTCTAACATGACTAGAGGAAGCCTCTAGCATGGTGAACTAAAATAGATTGGCGTGGCTTGAAGTCATGGGGAAAGGGTTGAATGTTTTCAAAGTGAACATGGGCCTTCGGGCCGACTACTTGACTATATATATAAAGTAAGTATATTTTCAAAGAGGGTAACCAAGGGTTATGACCTATAATATAATATCACTCTATTTGAGGGTCTTGGAAATTGAAACATTGATTATACTTAGTATAGTTGTCATTGTACTTGTCAAATGCTTCCAAGTACTGACCTCCCCTTCACGGGGGAGGCCACCTCACAGTTTCAGGTAGGGGATAAAGCCCGCTATCATCGCCCGTTGCTTTGGGAAGCTCGAGGAGAGAAGACGTGGTCCGTGCTTCCTCCGTTTCTATTTCAAAAACTAGTTTTTACTCGCGCGATGCGCGATAAATTAAGTGCCCAATGTGCCAAATGGATATGTCCATTTAATTTAGGACAAGGATTACAAGTATCTATCAAGAGTTTAAAGTGGTTGAATAGATAAGTATAAAGAACACGATTATAACATGTGTGTATATAAAGAGGTAGGTTCTAATATAAAGATGTTTTCCATGAAACGTGAGACGTCATCTAAACTCTTGATCACTTAAAAATGGATGGAATAGACAAAAATATCGGGTTAGGAAAATATTAAATAGTAAATGTGCGAATACTATATGTAAAGGTGCACATTCACCTCTTTAAAAAGTTATAAAATGATATTGACACTTCTTATTTCATTCTGAAGCG